TTTGATAAAGTCTACTCTCCACCGCTGTGTAATCAATTATTGTAAATGTAAATGTTATCAGGAAATGATCAGACAGGAGAGGGTTTACATGCTATGGGTCAGATTTACTAAAGCGCTGCCTCAGTGCAAAGTGGGTTTTGGCATAAAACAGTAGTGTCAGTGTTTGCAAAGACAGTGCAGTGATAATATTATGTGTACGAGGTGGCAACTAAGAGAATTTTGCAACTGACCCCCTTCCTTTCTCAGAATAGAAAATTTTTAAATCAAGCGCTCTGATAGATTTACTAACGTTTGCGACATGCAATTTACTGCTAATTGCTAATTGCTACTGCTAATTGCTAGCACTAATTGCGCTGATATTTAACACAGAAAATGAGCATGTCCTATTTTTTTCACTTGATTTTTAAATAAACTGTGTTTAATTCAATTCACTCTTATTTATATAGCGCTAACAATAACAACAATAAAGAAAATTGGGCTCTTTTTCACTAGGAAAAAAAGCCCCACACAGACACCTATGAGCACTATTTGGCAATTGTGCTTACCGGTACATGCTTTTTCAACCCTTTTAGGGAACTTGGCCCTACAGTGAGTCTACAGCAACGCTTTCCGCTCCAAAAGGCCAAAGCACAGCAAGGCTTCAGACAAAAATCAGCATGTTATCATACTAACAGACTCACATATTTAGTTCTTCATCCATTTCCTGAATGTCTGCATAAAAACTTCAATCTCAGTCTTTTCAGTGATTTTTGCATTTTTCTGTTCCTTCATGATTTATAAAGTTATAGATGCTAGTTTCAGCTGTCTCCTCATTCACAAGGCACAACAGCAGAATCACAGTCTCCAGCTATTGCACTGTATAGTAACTGAAGCCTGTTTATTATTGTTGTATTTTTGTAGGCTCTCTAATTTACATCACAAAATGCCTTGAGGCGACTCCTGTCGTATGAATTTAGTCTTTAATTTTAACTATCAAGTAAAAACCTAACATCATTATTATTATTACTATTATTTTAATTAATTAATTCGTTGATTTTTTTTTTAAGGAAATTTCAATTCAAAGTGAGTTTGCTTTTTTCAGTACGAGGAAGAAGTAAAAGCAGTTGAGACTGAGCCTGGAGTTTTGGAGATATTCATCTTAAAATTCATAGTGACATGTTACGAATTTGGCCCCATGGATAGAAGTGTAGAAAAAAAATTTTCAGAGTGCGATGTGATCCTAGTGTTTGTGACAAGACACAGTCCTTTTTTTTTTGCCGTGGAGTGGGCTTTGCATCTCTAGGCTTCTTCACAAGCTAAACTAGAAAAGAACAGAGCTGAATTTCTCTTTGCTGACACTCCCCTCGGGTTGCTGGTCGCGTTAAATGGGTGTAGAATAAAAGGTGGTCTGAGGACAGCGGCATCCTGAATACAAAACAAAGTATGAGCCTGTGTAACTTATAATAGCCTCTCAGTGATGACAGCTGCAAGAGAGCTTCCTAGCCACGGATTCAATTTTCTGCCATGGTCGTGTTGTAGTTAGTACCCTGGGTTTATTTGCGGGCATTGTATGTAGCTGCAGAAAAGATGTATTGCTGGACAAAAACGCAATAAGCATAAGCACATGGGCGTTATCAGTCTCACTGCATCTGTGTGTCCATGTTATAAATCTGTGTCTGACTCGTGTGGAGGCACAGCATGAAAATGACCTCTAAAAGGGCTGCACACCAGCCGCCTTTTGTTGCTCTGGAGTAACAACAGGAGAAACTGAAAGTAGTTTTTTATTATTCCTTCATTAAGTTCCAAGCGCAGCAACAAGGCACACAAAAAGCTGTCTCTGTTTGGTTCTCTCAGTCATAGCTGCCATCATTAGGAGCTAGACAGAGATTGAGTGTAATTTAATCATTTTAGGCTATCGCTCAAAGACCCAGGAATAAGATAATCGCATTCTGGTCAACTGTCAAAACAAGATATGTTTAATTCAGATAAACATGCCTATGTGGTATGAAGTCGGTATTCACCGTATTAACACACATATCCAACAATATATGGGGGATGTTTTTATGTGTGTGTTATGTAAATAACACACACATAAATAACACCCCCTGTAATTTATTGTGGAGCTTACAGGGAATGGATGCTTCAGCATCTTGTTTACGGATGGCAGTCTGCCTGAGAAGAG